TTTTGTCAATTTTACATTTGTTTTATTTTTTATCTCAAAACCTATTAGAGATAGGTATAGGTTGGTATAATAGAAAAATTATCTGACAGGAATGTTAGTTTCCAAAAATTTAATAATATACTGGGTATTCCATTTAAAATAAGTAAGATGTTATCACTTTTCGAATGCGATGCACTTTTCGAACGTGCTATGGAGCAGGTGACTATGTAAAAATCTAAATTTTCAAAAAAATCCTAACGTCTATCGTGCCATCGCCGTGAATCACCCTCTAGTTTAGAGGAGTTGTTAGTTATTTTTTATACAAGACGATAAAATGGTATTTTATCGTCGACCGAAAAGATTAATTCACGAGCGATGAAATCGCGAGTGAATTAATTTCGGGAGATTAATTTCGGACGATAATGCAATTTTATCGTCGGGTATAAAAGAATATTTTTTTCCATAGCGAGTTACGTTTTAAAAGATATTCAGAAATTATTATTTCAAGGAATTTATTACGAGAAGTAAAAATATTGTGCTGGGTTGGCGTCGAGAGTCTTTCTATGTAATTTGATAAACAAATTAAAGCTGCCTCTTTAGTTGTCAGTTTTGAGTCAATATTTTTTAATTCTCTTTCGTGTCGATTGCTGCTGGAGATTGCTGATTGAATTGGAGCCAGAAATGGCTCAAAACGAAATAAGTAAATTACCAACAGATATTCAGGCGGAGGCGACAAACGCCATATCCAAACTACTTCCATTTAAATCCCGAATAACTTATGAAAAGGAATACAAAAATTTTCAAAAATGGAAGCAATTAAAAAACGTGCGAGAAGAAATAAAGTTTTCAACCTATCCTCGCTGTTGAAGTACCATTTAATCTACCCTTGCGGTTAGAGTACTATTTTATCTACTATTTTTGATAGATATAAGGCAATTTTAAGAGTTGCTATGGAAAAAAGATCTTTTTAAGTGTGCTCTCGGTGTTTAAACATAAGGACTACAGAATCCTTAACAGAATTATCTAATGATTAGTTGAAATAAACCCACACTGTCAATAAATCTCTCCCAAAGTGTTGATAGGAGTATGAGGAACTTTAACTATTCCATTAAATTTTAAATTAAAAATAGAATCCTACCGCCAAGTATTTTACGGTATGAAAATTACTCTTTTTGTGCATTTCTGTAGCGATTCGTGCCGCTCTTTAATCAGATCGTAGGAAAATCAGCCAAATCGATCATTATAACAGCGCAAGAAGTAGGTAGTTCCAGTACTTACCGATGATTGAACCGTCAATTGATTTCGAAAGGCGAATCGTTACAGGTTGACCGTTATCTTTTCATCGGCACGATAAAGACGTTTGCGAAGTTGATGAATGGATTTCACTCAACTTATACATTTATGTATAAATGGATATGAAATTCATTTATATCTATAAATGTAAAGCTCCGCTTTACTTGAAATCTACGCTATTTATAATTATTATTTCAATATAAAGCAAAACACAGGGTGGCCCATTAGTTCAACGAAGTACAATATTGTTTAATGTTGAAGATATGAAAATAAGGTTTATATAAATGTGGCATAGTTTATAAAGGCGCATATCCTAAAATATTTCAAATAATTTCTTATAATACCTCTGTGGCGGATTCATCTCTTCAAAAAAGTCCAGTGTGTGTTTCACCACTTGTACTGTAAGAAAAACTGCAAAATAAAATAGTTAAAATAACAGAACGCGCGTTAGTTGTATTTAGATATTTTAAATAGTTTTTTTGTCTTTATTTCTTTGTGCTCTTTTGCTTCCGACTATGGGAAGAGATGCTTCCCGAAGTCCCGAAGCATTTTTTTGTTCGTTAGGCAGATCTGTATATTAGTAAATCACTACTGACAAATTGGTCTCCGTTGGATTAGCGCCAGCAGTGTTTACAAAAAATAACTATTTTATTTTGTAGTTTTTCTTACAGTGCAAGTGGCGAAATACCCATTGGAGTTTTCTAAAATATTTTGTTGTATACACGGTGTCCCAAAAAAATTATTTTAAGTTAACGTCTCTTTTTTTCTGCTAAGGCTAATCTGAGACGGGACCTACTTTGTTGACGCGCAATCCGAACCCCGGGACTCGGTCACATCATTGTCAATGGCCTACTGACTTGGCGAGTGTCTATATCGACTCTTAAGCCGGAAACACACTGAGCTCACGGCACATGAGCTCACGTGCTATCACGTTGTCATGATTAATATGTGATATTATGCTTAGAAGCACATTACTGTCACGTTTTATGCTGTACTACACAAATTGGCAATTTTTCTTTAATTTCAGTATATTTTGTGTGTTTGTGTTTCCTGCATTTTCAGTTATGGAAAGCGCTCGATCAGTTCTTCGGACTGGGAAGAGGAACTAGAAACTGTAGCTGCTTTTATTGTTTTATCAAGCTGCTTGGCGAATATGTTGATCACGATATTCAGGCAATCCATGATTGTTTAAAACAGCATGTACTCTGAATTTTGCTATTAAAATTTCATCCATTCTCAAATATAAACAACAAAAGTTTTAATAAAAAACCGCATAAACCTGACCTCACGTGAGATGAAAAGTGTGGATCTGCAGAAAATAAGCAAATGGCTAGCACGCGTGCGGTTGCCGAGGTAACGTAATACGCATGAGGTGACTTCAGTGTGGTTCTGATGTATTACCATACTATGTAAAACAGCGGTCTACATTTTTGGTCGGTAACGTGAGAGCACAAGAGCTCATGTGCCGTGAGCTCAGTGTGTTTCCGGCTTTACTCACGAAATATCCGATCACATCCGGCCTCGAAACCGCGTGAATGAGCAGTGTGTGTAGAATGTTTAGGAGGGGGGTTAATCACCGTGACCTTACATATCTATTGTATGTTCCATTTCCGACATCACCCGTACCAAAGTTTATACCACGAACGGTTGTCCTCTCGGCGCACTCAATGATGAGGTATACTAGTGTTTCTCCAATTTCCATACAGAATCTGCATTTGCCGTTGTTTCTCAGCTTCAATTTACTTAAGTGTTCGTTGAGGAGACAGTGTCCTGTTAGAAACCCTGTGACAATCCACAGATTGTTCTTACTTTACTCAATGAAAATCTTTGATTTTTCTTAGTCGTAAGTTTTGAGATTTTTTTTCGAATGTCTTAGACCGTCGGAGGATTCCCATTCCAGGTTACGGATGGAATCATCCAGGTTCTTGAATTCCGGTTTAAGTTGGTTTCCACTTGGAAAGTAGAACGGTTTTGGTCCAGTTAGTGGAGTGTTCTCTCCTTTTTCTAGCCAGATCGTTCGCTTTTTTATTGTCTTCTATCTCTTGGTCACTCGGACACCCAGAGTGGGAGTGACTAGTGTGTCAGTAGAGTTTACACTTTTTCCATGGAACAACAGCACTACAGATTTTCCAGACGGTCACCCGTCCATCCACTCGCATCGTCGGACGTCTCTTAATTTTGGTGATATAACGGGAACCGGTGGAACATAGCTGGACCATAGCCCATGTCTTTCCCAAAAAAAGTAATCTGTAAAAAGTAGTGTCTGATAAAGTTGTAAATGTTTTTAAATTGCAACCTCCATTTTTCTGTAAAGTATTGGATTCAGAATAAATTCCTATACACATCAGGTCAGGTCAGAAGTGTGGTCTAGATTTTAACGTGTAAGACAGTGATGTTGACAGCTTAATGGAAAATATAATGTATTAAAAAGAGATAAAAGTTGGGCTGGTACATTTCTTCTATGCTGTATTGTTGAATCAAAATTTCAATTCGCACAAGTAATAATCCGGAATCCAATATCTAGGGTTGAATCTGAATTTCTCCAATTAGGTACTCATTTTACTACATGTGTAATAGATTATATATCACACACCCTGTATAATAAAGGTGGATTTGGAACCTCTGGTGTTACAAAATCAAAATAAAGCAGCATCACAATACACTACAGCATTACTTTTGACACTAAAAAAAGTGTTAAAAGTAAAGTGTTTTTTTGTATTGTGGTGAAATAGTGTTTTCTTTTAATGCGATTATTTTAAATAACTATCTTCAAATGAGGCAATCAAATAGACGAATACTCACAATCTCACATTTGGTAAGCCAATGAGGAACTTTCGATGGGTCTTTAACTCGGTCTTAACTCGGGTTCATCAGGTTGAGCTAGGGGGCTGAAACTCGGAATGCACTTTATCATGATATTTTGACGACGTTTCGTACACTATGAAACACCATCATCAATGGCGAAAAAATCGTCCAATTTAATGGGTCTTTGCAGCGTCGCGTCGTACCTCAGGCTCTATATGAGCTACGGGGCTGAAACTCGTAATGCACTCTTTTCATGATATTTTGACGACATTTCGTGCACTATGAAACCCCATCATCAATACCGAAAAAATCGTCCGATTTAACTGAAATTTGTTATGTTGATAGATTGGACCAAAGCCAACTTGACCGTGTACGACACGTGTGACTGTGACAGTGTTGACGTAAGAAACGTCAAAAATTGATGTATTTTGATCGTGACCAAATTTGGTGGGTAGGTTATGTGAGCGACGGTGTGCACGGTCCCACCCTGCAAAGTTGGATACGACGTTTCGTTTACATCTTCATCAGGGTGGAACTAATGATTTGATATTGAAGAAATATGTTGGTCGGTTTCGGCATAATTGGGAACGGGCTACAGGATGATGACCTCGACTTTTCGAACCGATCGATGCCTCTAAATTGACGAAATCACCAGGATTTTTCTTAATTATGGGTCGAGTTTTTATTAATTAAGCGAATCAAATTATTTATTAATTTTTAATTTATTACTTTTTCAACATTTCAAACTACACTTTTTCAAATATGTCCTTCAAATCCTTCAATTTAATAGCTGTTAATAAGAAGTTTCCCATCAAATATGCAATATTACACACACAATTTTTTTATTATAAAAATGGACAATAAAAGTATTACTATAACAAACTTATGTTTCAAGTTTTACTTTCAAACGATATTTTTTTCAGATTCACACATCTCTTGTTCAAGGCCGACCTGGCGCCAACGAATCAAGCTCAGAATTACACGAATTTATCAGAGCCCGATATGTACGATTTCGACTCATGGGACTAAGAGCTAACGCCGAGCCCTTGCCAACCTGGATTACTATCGATCCTCGAAAAGATAAGAAATTGTTTTATTCCATAAGGGATATCGTCATTGGAGGACAGTGCGTTTGTAATGGCTATGCTGAAAATTGTAGACATAACGTAGCAAGTGGGGTAAGTACAGAGTTCTTAATACTAATTCTTACATTTATATAATTAGTTATTTGTTTATGTTTAATGCCAATTTTACAGACTACTATCGTACTACTATAAGATATCATTTATATTTAAAGTCTGCGTTTATTTGATTAACCTTCCGTTATTTGCGCCTCCTTGTTCTAAGTGCTCACGTGGAGTATTTGAATACCCCAATTAAATTTTGATGAGAAACAAAAAATATAATTTGGGTCTCATATGGGTAATTATCGAGGCAATTATGTAAAACATATTCACCCATAATTTTTTTTAAGTCAACTACACTTCCCCAATAAATTAACGCACCACAAAAAAATAACCAAAAGTTTAAGTTAAGTTTTTGTCAAAACCACTTATCCGATTTGGACGATTTTTTTTTTGAATGATAGGTTATTCTTTCCAGAATGTTGCTATACTAACTGTATTTTGATAGGAACCCTTTTTATACTAATATCGGGTGTAGCAATTATAACGTGTTTTTTTAATAAAATTTGTGACACCCTGTAGAGTTGATCAGTTACAGTATCAAGTTAAAATTGAAATCAGATTTTAGCCTTATCTTTTTTTTACATTTTGTTTTTTTATTTACTCCATTATCTTCCTTATTACACGGGAAACAACATTTTATAGGGTGACATGATTTAATATTGGTTTTAATTAACATTATTTCATTTTACTCACTAAAGTAAGTAGCAGGCTATGGAAAACCACGGATTACCAGTAAATGTCAAATAGAGATGCTTGTTGTCAGTGTCAATCGTTTTCGTCCTTTTATTATATCAAAAATATACAACGTGCACGCGAAACAAGAAATCTTACTGGCGAAGAATGTGCTCAAGCATTAATATTGTCTGAGAAAGGTTGGAGCTACCGAAGAATTGGTGAACGATTTAATGTAACTCACTCAACCATTTCACGAGTTATACAATGGTATAGAAATACTGGGAGTAATTGTCGCAGGCCGGGACAAGGCAGGAATCGAAGAACCAATCCGATTCAGGAACGTTTTTTAAAACTCTCGACATTAAGACAACGTTTTGTAACAGCTCGGACCCTTCAAACTCAGCTCAAAGATACTAATGGTCTACAAGTTTGCACATAAACTAGCATCTCTATTTGACATTTACTGGTAATCCGTATTTTTCCATAGTCTGCTACTTACTTTAGTGAGTAAAATGAAAAAATGTTAATTAAAACCAATATTAAATCATGTCATCCTATAAAATGTTGTTTCTCGTGTAATAAGGAAGATAATGGAGTAAATAAAAAAATAAAATGTAAAAAAAAGAAAAGCCTAAATTTTGATTTCAATTTTAACTTGATACTGTAACTGATCAACTCTACAGGGTGTCACAAATTTTATTAAAAAAACACGTTATAATTGCTACACCCGGTATTAGTATAAAAAGGGTTCCTATCAAAATACAGTTAGTATAGCAACATTGTGGAAATAATAACCTATCATTCAAAAAAAAATTGTCCAAATCGGATAAGTGGTTTTGACAAAAACTTAACTTAAACTTTTGGTTATTTTATTGTGGTGCGTTAATTTATTGGGGAATATATTATGCAGTGATATTTACACCAATGGAAAGCTGGAGATATTAGCTAACTTTAACCTGAAGTAACTATATCGATTCAGACAAAAGGAATAATTTTGCAGCCATTTATGTGAAGTGCTGATTTTTGGCCAAAACATTTTATCCGTCCGTTTGGGGGCACCCTTGAAAAATCGCATAAAATGAAAAAATATGAATTAAAATACGTATGAAAAAAGAGAATGTATTTTTTCTAGAAGTTTATTAAGTTAATTAGTGACAAAAAAGTAAAAAACTGGCCTCCGATGGCAAATTGAAAAAAAAATACAAATATGTGACAGAGGTTACGCCATAATTGGAAATGGTTGAATAAGCTGAGAATTATGATGATGATGAATTATTATTATTATTACACGTGTTTTTTTTAAATTGTTCAAAAGTGATCGATATGCTAATTCTATGTTCTTGGTTATAGTGATAGAACTTTCGTAGATGAAATTATAAATTCTAATATCCTTACCAATGTTTGAGCTTCACATGGTTCTCGTTGAACTTAGCTCACGAACAATTTTACATCACTTTGCTAAATTTGCGTCCATTTTTATAATTTTGATTTCAAGTCTATCTTTACCTTTTCCTTTAAAGATGTTTCCAAGAAATTATAATAAAACTAATCTAACAAATCAGTAATAATATTCTTTGTAGTTCTTCAACTTGCTTATTATTTCACATAAATCCTTCTGTGCGTATAAACACGGTCTTGTTTTAACTTATTGATATTTATTTATACATTCTCTTAATTGCGTACTTATTTCTGTTTGGTCAATATTGCCGTAAATGTCTGAATTAATTTATTATTAGTCCTAATTTGTCAGTTCTCCATGTTTTAGAATATTTATATTTATCTTATAAACTTCTGTCTGTATAAGGTACCGAAATTTGTCTTTATTAACAGAAATTATTTGGTTTGTCAATATTAATTAAAATATAATTCTGTGATCTAATAACTAATTAATGTTTCTGCGTTTATTCTATATAAATGTTTTTATATTGACTTTTCTGGTATAAAAATAATTTGGATTATCACTCTTAGGAGATTACATTATTTTATAACTATTTTTTTATAGACATTTTAAATGACTACTAGTTAATACCAAAAATTTTAATGCTAGGTGTTCTAGTTTTTTTGGGCGTGGATCGATGCAGATCGATTAGTTAACTTTTTTAGTATACGCAATTTGTCAAAAAAGTACATACAGGGTAAGAAAAAAAATAAAAACCGAGTTTTTTTTATTTCCGGCATTTTTTTAAATACAACTTAACCTAAAAACCATACCAGGTAAGAAAAGCGAAAAAAGTTAATAAATAAAAAGTTCTCAGCAACTAAAATGTATTAAGGCAAACTGTTAGTATAAACAATTTTATCATCAAGCTGGTTTAGAACATTGAGAACAAAAGAAATTATTAAACAATTTCGCATAAAAATAATTTATATGTCATCTGCGTCTGCCCAGAACCTGCTTAAATGCAAAACCAGCAGGCACAGTTTAATGATTTATTGAATTTCTTTTGATGACTTTTTATACTTCAAAGAATAGCATTTGTTTAATTTATAGCGTACCTACTATTCACCACTAAGATCAGCTCTAGTGATTAATCACCAGCCGTAAAGGCTTAAAAAAGTCACAGATGTACATAGTAGAAGTTAATCCTTATACGTATCTATTCTAACCATTTTTGCAGTCGTTAGAATCAATCGAGTAGGATTTATGAAACGAGAATTACGTGAGAAACTTGTCATCGGCTTTTAGTACCTACAGCTCTCTAATAAATAGCAGTTTGTAGCGATAATTCTAAAATAGAGAGATAAAAGAAAAAAAACATAAAATAAAAGATTAACATTTAAATTTTTAACAACTAGTATTGTGTTAATTATCTATTTTTCTGCAATTATTATTCAAACTAATAATAAAGCCGGACTCAGACAGCTCGTGTACTTGGCAATTTTTTAAAATTTAGAATGAGTGAGAGGAGGGTTAATCACTGCGACCTTACAGATTTATTGTGTCCCCCTTTCTTGAGTTATAACTCATCATACAGTCCCAGGGCTTTGCCAAAAGCCAGTACAGAGGGTACAGAGGGTAGTTCTCCATCTCCAATATCAGTCGTACCAAAGTTCATGGAACGAATGGTTGTCGTCTCGGCGCACTCAGTGATGAGATGTTCTGTTGTTTCCCCATTTTCCCCACAGAATCTGCATTCGCCGTTTCTTCTTAGTTTCAATCTACTGAGGTGTTCATTGAGGAGACAATGTCCTGTTAAAAACCCCGTGACAATCCGAAGATTGTTCTTACTTAAATCCAGGAAGATCTTTGATTTTTCTTGGTCGTAAGCCCTCAGAAACTTCTTCGAGTGTCTAAGACCGTTGCAATATTCCCATTCCAGGCTGCGGATGGAGTCTTCCAAGTTTTTTAGTTCCGCTTTTAGTTGGTTACCACATGGGAAGCAGAACGGTTCTGATCCAGTTAGTGGAGTGTTCGCTCCTTTTCTAGCTAGATTGTTTGCTTTTTCATTGCCTTCTATCCCTTGGTGAGCAGGCACCCAGAGTAGGAGGACTTTGTTTTCTTTTGCCTAATTTATTCAGCTTCTCTGTGCATTCTTTGACCAATTTCGAATTGAGTGTACTTGGCAAACATTTTGTTATTGGCATACAGGGTTCAGCAATAGTGTGTCGGGCATCTGTAGCTCCTATAATTATTATAAATAATATCCTTTAAAAAACTTTTGTATGAGAAATTTTGTATGAGTGCAATAATATAGGGGGGTTTCATTTAAAAAAAAATAAAGTGTTTGATGTGCCACAACTTTATAACCGACCTTGTATACTTAAATTTATTCGTAGCTAATAGGAATTTAAAAACGCATTACAACAGTATCACAGTTTCGGCAGAATGATATCATTAAATGAAACTGAAAATATCGACTTATAGAAATTATGACCGACCCAGTATACATAAATTTATTACTCGCCAATAGACATTTAAAAACGCTATAATTCTTGTATTTAACTTTTTGCGGTATCTTATATTTTATCTAATAATCGACCGTATTAATACATAAAAGCGACCCTGTATAATAATTTGTTCGGATAGTGACATCAAATGACAATTTGTAAGTCTGGCTAACATTTACGGATGGGTTTACCTAATAAAGAAGAGAAAAAGCCCACTTATTTCCCCAGTCATAAATATTTGACATTTAGTAAAGCGAATCATTTTGTTAATGGAAATAATAGTCTGGCACATCCCAATTGGGGGAAAGTCAGTCTGGTTGAAAATTTGCGGATGCAAAAATTTGACAGATTTTTGAAATCAGTAACCCGTATTTTCCCATGCTTGAAATTTAACGTATCATTTAATACTATCTTAACTATAATCAAAAACAAGTCTGGCTGATTTACGAAATTAGCAAATGAGTCAGGCGGCGTCTTGAAAATTACAAAAATTATTAAATTGTTGCTCTTATTTTTCCGAATTTGAATCTATAATATAATTCTACAAAAATTTACTTTTTCCCTTCTTTTTCTTTAATAAATTTTCATTTACCACTCTTAGTTATTCTACGTCGTAGATTCTTTATTCAGCTGTTTTGTTTCAGAACTTGGAATGCGAATGCCAACATCACACTTGTGGTCCAAATTGCGACCGGTGCTGTCCTCTATTTAATCAGCGTATTTGGTTACCAGGATCACCCCACGAGCAACGACAGTGTCTGCCATGCAACTGTAATGGGCATGCGAGTAGCTGTCATTACGATGAGTCTGTGGACAAAGCCGGGCTGAGTATGGATGCTGAGGGCAGGTTTCAGGGCGGAGGTGTTTGCGACAATTGTACAGTAAGTAAATATCTATTCCAAATATACTCTTCAGTGCACATCTTCTTCTTCTTCGGGTTCCATCTCCTAATGGAGGTTGGAAATCATCATGGCAATTCTAACTTTGTTAACGGCTGCTCTGTATAACTGGTTTGAAGTCATTCCAAACCATTCTCTCAAATTCTTGAGCCATGATGTTCTTCTTCTTCCTTGGCTCCTTCTGCCCTTTATCTTTCCTTCTATTATGTTCTGCAGCAGGGCATATTTAGGTCCTCTCATGTTTGCCATAATTATTTAGATCTTGCACGGAGAAAACAAGGTTGGTTTTATGAGGGTTGGGCATTTTTGCAGCTAAGTAGTCAGCTCTGTCATTGCCAGGAATTCCTATGTGGCTCGGAAGCCAAACGAAAGTCACGCTGTAGTGGTTGACATTGACCTTCTGTAGAAGTATTTTGATTGCCATAACTAGTGGATGGTTGGAGTAGAAAGAATTGTTTGAATGTTGCCTTGTTGAATGGCCTTAAATATTGCAAAAAGCTCTGCTTTTTTTAATATTTTGGGGATGGAACTTAGTGAGAAACACATTTCTTTATCGAACGTATGAAAAGCCGCTCCAATGTGCCTATCAGTTTTCGAGCCATCGCATCGGGGTAAACCAATCGATGACTCTTAAACTTCGAGTTGATGAGATCTTTGAATTATGCTCTTATAGTGAGATGTGAGCATTCCTTTTTGTTGTGGACTTTGAGTGATAGGTCAAGCGAGAGTAGGTGCAGACTCCATGGAGGAAACATACGGGAGAATGGCGCAATATTGAAAGAAGGAGGCAAATCAATTGATAGTCTTTCTTTTATATCAACATAACGGTGGTGTGATGCTGATTGAGATCATCAATGTGTTTGTATCTATGTTTGATTTGGGGTAAATAATTTTGAAGATTTTTTTGTGATTAGGGTGTTCCGGATTAACATGTAGACCAAACGCATATGCTAATAGGTGCCGTTCTCTAATATAATTTAGTGTGAGTTGTTCTGATTCACACATTAAGCTTGGTGTGGGACTCGTGTGAAAAGCGCCCAGTGATTTCCTGATTCCAATGTTATGTACCGCGTTCAGCTTATTTAAATAAGACCGCGGTGTGTCTACACCGCGGTCTTATTTAAATAAGCTGAACAGTTTGTATGATTTAAATAAGCTGAACAGTATGCGTCTGCATAAACTTGGGACCCGCAATTGATTTTGGATAAGACACAAGCATTGTACACCTGCAAAAGAGAAACATGGTCTGACCCCCAGGTGGTACCAGATAGAATTTTAATAATGCTAAGATTAGTTTGGCATTTAGAGATTAAGTTGCTGATATGGGTTTTGAAATTGAGAAGTGTGTCAAAGGTAATGCCAAGAAATCGTTGTTCGTGCTGGGAGTTTATTCGATCAGACGGCAGAAATGAACAATGAACTGCAGCCGATTTGGAAGCAGAAAAGGATAAGTTTTTCCCCGTACACCATTTTGTAAGTTCATTAGTTGAAAATGAACCCGCCATCGCCATACAGGTATAGACATTATTTACACTGATCTTGTCAGTTGACATGAGTTACCCATAGTCACTTAAATTTTGTGTTACAGTCTATTATATCCTCAATATTACTTTTTTTCTTCAAAGTTCTTTTTCTGTTCCTAAGACTAATAGCTAATAGTAAATATCTTTCTTTGCATCGTTTATTGCATTACTTATTATTGCACCAGCTGATTTGCTTTTTTGAGAATTCCATTGATTCTAGGCTATAGGAGACTACTGGCAATATGACAGTAATGAATATTACCAGTTGACATTGAATTATCATACAATTGACGCTGATTCATTTAATTTCGCTGACATTATTGTGGTAACATGATTATTATCGAATAATGATGGATTTTCTGATAACTCTAAAATAGTTCAGTTTGAGCTCAACAATTGTTTCTTAAAGGAAGGTATTTTTTATGCTTTTAAGTGAATTTCTAGGAGTATATTATCGGCATCTATTTCATTCATGCAACAATGTCTGTAAAATTTTAAGCGCATCTCTTGAAAAACTAAGATTTCAGCCATTTTCAAACCTTAGTTGTTGTTTCATAGTAGCTTGGGTGAGTCGATGTAAGGATTATTGCGAAAATATGTTGTCATACTATCACGATATTATGTTTAACTAAAACTTTTAAAAAATCCTTTTTTTTTCAAATATACAAAAAAAATCACGTATAACCGTGTTTCTGGGGTGTAAATATACCACCCCTAAAATTATTTACACTTGTTTAAAACTCACCCTGTATAATAATATATGTATTTCATTTTCGTTGTTTTGTTAACGTAAACGGCACTATTTTTGGATTCTTGACAAAATGGTGGAGCTACATATTTTAAGTCGATATGATATTAGTTCTAGAACAGTAATTTCAGCTTTATCTATTTTAAGATAAACTAAATCTATTGAAATCCAAAAAATAAATAAGAAAAATAGATACTTATTTAGAAATATGCACTTTCACAATTTTATTTTGAAATATATATGGTATTATTTACATAAATTAGAAAAATTAGGTATTATTAAAAGCTAAAAAAATCTATCTAGAAAGTGTAATTGTATATTTTTTATTACTCACATTAGTTATCTTTATTGTTCTGAAATTTAAAAATATTACTTTTTAATAATTAATAATTAAACAAAAAATATAAAACATTTATTTTAATTAAATTGATATTTATTAATATTTTTCAATACTAACATTTATTATATACATCCGCTTTATTGCAATTTCTTTGATTTTTGAATTTTTTTTATTTAATCATGAAATAATTTCATATTATCGAAAATATTTTCATAAATTAAAACATGCTTCGGAAAATAATTTGAACTAAAAACGAACTCATCTTTTTGTCAAGAAATTATTTAGGTATTATTAAAATTAAACTTGTCTTATTTTTTATTCAATCATGAAATAATTTCATATTATCGAAAAAATTTTGATAAATTAAAAAATACTTCGAAAAATAATTTGAAGTAAAAACAAACTCATCTTTTTGTCAAGAAATTATTTATTTTTAAAATGAAATTTGTCTTATTCCAGGATTATACCACAGGAATCAATTGCGAAAAATGTCTTAATGGATATTATCGGCCAACTGGTGTACTTCCATCTCATTCTGAATCTTGCAAAAAATGCGATTGCAGCGAATATGGTACTTCAGATGAAAACCCTTGCGAACAGGTAAGAATGTCATATGTCATATTTCAACTCTTTTAATATTCACATTTTTTCGTAATAAGAGCAAATAATAAAAAATAAAAAAGGAAATCAAGACAACTGACATCTTTAATTAAATGCTATATCAAATTTTTACTTAAGGGTGTCAAAAAATAGTGTATCTAACATCGAATTCTACAGATAAAAATAAAACAAAAAGTTCCTATGAACATATGCCCTAAAATGCTTCCCGAAGAAGTTACAGCCCTCGAAGGGGTAAATAAAAATAATATACAGGGTGGCGCCTCTCATTCGCCGCGGAAGCTCCAAGGAGAACGGTAGTTTATATCGAAATAAAATTTTGGCAGCATATGTAGGCTAACTGAAAGCATTTTATAAAAATATATAGAATTATACAGTGCGTCCCCAAAAAAAGTTACACATCAAAGTTTTGTTTTTTCTAATGGAACACCTTATATATTAATTGATTTTCGGTTTCTAGGAAAAAAATAAAGGTGAGTTTTATTAAAGAAGCATCTAAGGATTTTGACATATTTCACATTTTGTGAAAATGAAGAGTAAATTTTAAATTTCGATAACAGCTACCTAAATTTTAGTAGACCTTCTATAGCCTGATATTTAATTACAGTAACCATTGTATGTTAAACCAAATTGAAATTTGACCCGAAAGGTTATACAGGGTGGGACAAAATTAATATGAAACATTAGTCACTTTTAAAAGCAAGTTACTCCTTTGCTTTAAATGGAACACCCAGTATATTATTCCGGTGTTCAATGGAGAATTTATATATCTTCAAAATATTATTGATTGCCTACTCCTCAGACAAAGATTTTCCTAGATATTTTAATTTTTATAATTTTGATTATTTGAAAAAATCTAGGGGTGGCTGTGATATACCTTTTATTAATTTCACAAAAATTAAAGATTGTAGAGTAAAATACTCAACGGTTATGAAAAGATACACGTTTAAAACATATTTTAATTATTACAGAATTAAAACTAGATATAAACCTATAATTATGTGACAAAAATTAGCTAGATGAAATTAAATGCTCAAAATGCTTCCTTTCCTGTTAACTGCATAAAATGATTGCCTTTTCAAAAAGATATTTTCATTTTAAAAGGCATATGTGGAGTTCTATCTCGAAAAGCAGCTACAATAATTTCTCTCATCTTGTCGACAATAGTTGGTCGAGGTTTGAAACACTGTCTTTAACATATCCCCATAAAAAATCAGACTAGATAAAATCAGGAGCATTTAAGTATACTATTAATTAAAACAAGAACATTTCTCAGAAATTTGCCGAAAATGCAAACTTATCCTACTTAGAGAGAATTGATATGAGAAACATTCTTGTTTTAACTGACACAAAATGATAACTAGTTGTTTAAGTTGGACTAATTAGACAGCTATGTTGAAGTAACGTCAGACATATCACAGCCACCTAGATTTGATCAAATAATGAAGATCTACTCAGATCAAATCATGTAAATGAAAATATTTAAGAAAATCTTTGTTTGAGGTGTAGGCAACCTTAATAGTATTTTGAAAATACATGAATTATCCATTGAATATTGGAATAATATACTGGGTGTTCCATTTAAGATAAAAGAGTAACATGCTTTTAAAGGTGACCAATGTTCAATATTAATTTTGTCTCACCCTGTATAACTTTTTGGATCAAGTTTTAATCTGACTTAAAGTACAATAGTTAATTTAACTACATATTAGGCTATACCGGGTAAATTCCAATTTAGGTAAGTGCTCTGAATTAACCTACATATTTTTGTATTGAAACAAAATTTAGTTTCAATACAAACTGTCGTTCTCCTTGGAGCCTCCGCGGCGTATGAGAGGCGCCACCCTGTATGTCATAAAACTTTACTTTTTTTCTGCGGAAATGCATCCTTTTCGAGTTTTTCAAGTTTAGAATAGTCAGGGCTATTTTCGTTTACTTGAAATCAGTTATGTAAGCACCCTGTATTTTTTTTTTTTTAAACAATGGTTGGCTCTTATGAGTACAACCATTACTCTCTAAATGGAAAGTGCCATTTTAGGGCCGTTAAGGAATTTTACACGATCGCCATTCGTTTTGGCATTAAAATGTATATAAGAGTACAGAATTTTAAGAAAAACGGTTTACCAATGTTCTTAAATAAAAATAAACAAAATATATTATTTTTATTTAACCTTTCGAAGGCTGTAACGTTTTCGGAAAGCATTTTAGGACAATATGTTCATAGGAACTTTTTGTTTGATGCACTATTTTTTTGACCACCCTGTATAAAGTTAATTATAAAACGAAAGTTGATATTTTATTATGAATGAATTTTACATTATAAAAACTAATAGACCCAATGTTGACTCGCTCCTAGACAAAATAGTTCAATGACAATTTTGATGTTATACAGGGTGTTTTAAAAAACATGGGCCATCTCTCGTGGGGAGATTCCTCACATAAAAATAAGATTTATTTTTCATATCGACATAGGTCCGATTCTGCTCTGTTTCGTAGTTAGAGGATGTAAAAGACTTAATATTTTTATTATAATTTTTCCAAGTACTTTTAGCGTTTCGAATAAAATTTTGATGGTAAAAGTTACTGTAAGTGGGACATATTTTAAAGTTAAAAAAGTGTCGACATATTTACCTGTGACGTGCATATGGGTTATCACTAGAATATTTTTTCTAAAAAAAGCATGTACGTCTCTGACTTTTTTCTGTTAGCGAAATAGTATTAGCAGTTTAATGCCGATTAAAAGTTGTCTCTTGACATTTTGTCAGTTTTGGCCTCCTTGATGAGATAAACGCAATTTTATTAATTTGCCTTGATCCAAGTCTAATAGCAACCTTTCAAAAATTTTAATATCATTAACTTGCGAAAGTTTTATATAAGTACTCATTGATTCCTCATCAAAAAATATGTAGAAAAGTTCCTATAAACATGGATATGGAAATGCATAGTTTTAGAGTTACAGGATGATAAAATTTTTAATTTTTTTTTATAATTATCTTAGATACCATTATTTTTTTTTATTTTAAATTGCTCTTTGTTGGACTAATAGTAATAATAACTAATAGTAATAATATTTAATAATAAATTAGGTAAAATATATAATTTATTAATTTTGTTTTTATATTAATTATACTAATTGTGACTAAAAAAATGCGTTTATCTCATCAAGGAGGCCGAATTCGACAAAATGTAAAGAGATAACTTTTAATTGGCATTAAACGACCTACACAATTTTAATATCAAAAGAAAAAAAGTTAGTGGCGCACATGTTTTTTTTTGAAAAATATTCCAGTGATAACCCAAATGAACGTCCCTAATGAATTTCTTGACCCTTTTTTAGCATTAAAATATGTAGCACTTATAGCAACTTTTACCCTCAAAATTTCAATTTAAAATTCAAATTTTAATGTGAAAAATAAGTCTTATTTTAACGTGAGGAATCTCCACACGAGAGATGGCACATCTTTTTTGAAACACCCCGTATAACTTCTGATATGTTTCCTTAGTATGGTGACATAGCTGGATCCTGCATTTGCAAGCCTGGATATACAGGAATACGATGCGATACTTGTATCCCTGGATTTAGAGGATACCCCAATTGCGAATCGTGCCCTTGTGATCCTAAGGGTATGGTCAATCCAGAAGATTGTTCGGGAGCTTGTCTTTGCAAAACAAACGTGGAAGGCAAATACTGCGATCGATGTAAATCAGGATATTTTGGTCTAAGTTATGAACAGCCCGAAGGTTGCCTACCTTGTTTCTGTTCGGGAGTTACTACGCTGTGTGAAATAGCTAGGATAGAGTCAAAAATGGTAAGTAAAAACTAATTTAAATCTTAATTTCAGTTAACATGTACATTTTTAGGTAACTACACTCAATAACTGGTTTTTGACAGATTTAACAGTCACCAGTTTTATCACTCCAGTGACCAGTAACTCCAGTGTCTTTTCTGTAGGCAACTTTGGTCTTCCCAACGTTGAAAATCTCTATTGGTTAGCGCCAAAAGAGTACCTAGGAAATCAGTTAGAAGCATACGGTTCTTCGTTCAATTTTGGCGTCCAGTGGGTTGTAATGCGAGGCGATACCAGCGGAGAACCAACTATAGGACCTACCATGATCCTTGTTGGAACCAATGGCCTACGAATTGGGTTCGGAGATGGCATTTATGGGTCACAGAAGATGGGGTTTGAAGTGCCTTTAAGAGAAAAAGGATGGTATGTTATCCCTAATGAATTGAGGGATATTACGAGCAGGATGAGTGAAGATCAATATAAAACGAGAGTCGTAACGAGACAAGAATTCCTGAGTGTCATGGTGGATATCAAGTATATTTTGTTGCGAGGTAAGTTTGTATTATTTTTCAAATATAAATACAACAATAATTATTGAATAGAGAAGCTACATAATATACTGTTAATAGAAACACCAAAAGTGATGTGGGTTGTTAAAATTGATATAGAGAGAGATGATCATCAATTTTGTTTACAAAACCTTCTTCTAAATACTTTGCATTCTACTAACTACTTTTGTTGGTCCATTGATGTCCAAATGTTTTTAACTATTTACCAATGACACTCCGCACTATAAAAGATAATTTTCCGCGTTTTAAACTTTTACTCAACTGTACTGGCGAAGTAAATTCTGGCTGCTGAGGAGTTGAATGAAACCTTTTTTTTTCTCTTACGAAGTGTTGGATTTTTTCCTAGAATTTGTCTTAATTTTCTTATCTCTACTTGTGCATTTATAGATGTCATCGCTGTCTTTCTACCGTTAATTGACAAGTTTTGTTAAATAAATAGAGTCTGTGGTTGGTTCATTGTGAAACATCGTTGAAATATTAGTATTTTAATAAAACAGGCTTTAGATATATGAACGTTTTTTTTAATAAGAGTAAGTTTAAGTCTACATTATTGTTTCGGCTTGTTAGGCCTTTTTCAAGAGTTTCTTAAAACTATTTTACAATATATGTTTTAAAATAATCAACTATATATTTTAAAATAGTTTTACGAAACGAAACATATAGGTACCGTATGATCGAATAAAAACGGCGTCAGCGATGGCTATGAAACGAAGATCGCTGTCATTTTATATGTAAAATAATATGGAAAATGTCATCGATCGTCATTTCATAGTCATCGCTGACGCCGTTTTTATTCGATCATACGGTACTATGTAGAGTTAAAGTTACTCTCATTTAAAAATATTTTTTGACAAGTTTTGTAATTATGTTCTATTCTGACATCAGATCTCTCTGTCTTATTTCATTATTACTATATACATTTTATTTGCCTATGATAATAGCCCGTGATATACAGAACTTGAAACTACTGCATCTTTTAAATTTAAAAGAAGAATTGGTAAAAACCAATTAAGTATTCGAGGTTGTAGCTTAGTTAAATGACCATTCATGTTTTAGCAATAAAATATGCAAGGAATTAAATATTTTTGCACTATTAAATCCTATGTATAAGGATAGTCAAGCTAAATATTCAAAAATTGCATTGTCTTCATTAGCGTCCAAAGATTTTTGTCCACTTACCTAGGGCATTCTGCAGGAAGACGTTCTTCATATTGCCTCTCGAGACGTTAAATTTCTTTAATAATGAAAGAAATCTTGAGATGTCTGCGAAGGTTAACATAATATTTTATACACAAAGCCTTAAGAATAACTTTATCATAGAACTTTCTTTTGCCACACTTTAATTATTTTGGCTTTGCTTTTAATCGAAAAAGTGCTTGTCCGGCATTGTGCAGTGGTGTTAGGTCTAGAATGACCTACACTGCTGCTGTTGGGCATGTTCTCATGGCACCTGTGATGTAGATGCATGCCAGTTTCTGTACTTTGTACAGGTTTTGCTTTGCTGTACGTTGCTCTAGTTTTGTGTCCCAAGCAACTGCTCCATAGGTAATCATGGGTTTTGCTATCATGGTATACATTCACCGCAAAATGTTAAGAGCGCAGCCTCATGTATTTCCCGGCAGTCCTCTGCATAGTTTTACTAAAAAAGCTGACGAGAGCTTATAGAATAATTAATTATTTTTTAATTAAAATTTGAGTAAACAGATTCTGGAAAAAAATAACAAGCACGGATTATAACAATGTATACGTGAATTATCAAATTAGCCTATTTCTTTTCTTTTCACTAATTTATAAGTATACATGAACTAATGATTTATAAAAACCAGGAACTTAAACAGGCTGCGCTATATTTAGCTACTAATAAATATTACATAAGCAGATGTTAACATCAAAGCCTTTTTTGTACAAATATTTTGGCCTACTTGTAAATTTAGTGCTGCTATTTTCATGTTTAGGCCTTTGATAACTTGTATTCTTTCAGAAAATGTTTGAGCACAAAAACATAAATTAATATACACTTGTCAAAGATGTATTGATTAATGGCACTATGTTAATTATTAGACTACTATTCTTAACTTAAAAATAGAGTAAACGAGAGATAATTTCAGAAAATTTTTAGTATGGAAACTTACTGTAGTTCGTTATTTTTATGCCAAATTTGTCAATGTTTAATAATTTTTGTTGTAGGGACATTTCACACCGATCAAATTGAAGCCCTACTGGAAAAAGCAGTTATGGTATATGGTACAGATGAGTTTAACTATGAGCAAAGTTACGTTGAGAAGTGTTCTTGCCCATCAGGTAATAAATTTAGCAAGATTTTAATTTTTATAAAAAGATATTAAGTTATTTATTGTTACTCTTGGTCAGCACTGATGAAGTTTCTTCTAAATATCCATGATTTTCAAGTTAATAAATATTGTTTTGATATGTGGCAAAAAAGTCACTTGTATGCTTCATATAAGTATATGCGCATATTCATATGCATATGCGCATATTCAAGAAATACTTCTGACTACTACTGCGTTCTACTATTACTTAAGTTCAATACATTTACTATGTTTTAGAATTTGAAGGAAGGCAAATACTTTTAGTTACTTTACAGTTAAATGAGTGCTTTTACTTTTATTTCTTACTGTAAATCAACGAAATAGAAGAAACGTATTTTTTAATCTTACTTATTAGCATTATGTAACACATTTATAAAATTATTATTACATTTTATATAAAGGAAGACACCTTCAAAAGCAAGACAAACAAACTATTATTAACGATGTACCGAGGAAGAAATAAAAGAAAATTATCTTTGCACTGCAAACTCTATTTTTGATGTAACATCGAATATACCTACTTCAAAAACTTTTAAACTTAGAAAGAGAATATTGTACAGAAATAATATTATTGATATACTGGGTGGTTTGAACTGTATTCCGGAAACTGCGGTAGCAGATTGTGCAGATAAAAATAAGTTCGTATAAGTGTATGCTAATATGCTTAGTTTCGGAGATACAGGGTGTAGAAATGTCATTTATATGTCGATTTTTTCCAAATAATTTCCGAAGTAACGTCAATATTTGGACGAAAATTGGTGTCTGGGAGTTTTTTGACATTTGATTTTGATGTCAATATGACTCCTACCTGTAGAGGGCGCCACCTTCATATTTTTTAACTAGTTTGAAGAGTAATATCTTTTCGTCCGTACCTGTATAAAACTACTGAGTAAAATATGAGTAAAATTACATACATTTCCGAGATTCTTTACGTAAAAAAGGTATCTTGGTAAAAATCGCTACGAGTAATGGTTCTCGAGATATTCAGAATCGAAATTATCAATACCTATCGACATTGACATAAATTAAACATGTTAACTAAATAGTTATTGGACTGAAGTTATAAATTTGAAATGTTTTTGTGCCGAAAGTTCAACAGAAACTGTTTTATCATCATTTTTTCGAAGAAAAATTTATGATTAATTTAAAAAAATAAAAAGTTCCCATTTTTATCATTCAGTCAAATAACTACTCAACATTTTTATTTTTTATCAATAATGAGATGTATTGATTATTTCCATTCTAAATATCTTGAGAACGGTTGCTCGTAGTAATTTTTACCAAGAGATACCTTTTACGTAGAAAATCACGGGTATATTTTTTTACCGAGTAGTTTTATACAGGTACGGACGAAAAGTTATTACTCTTCAAAACAGTTAAAACACATGTAGGTGGCGCCCCGTACAAATAGGGGTCATATATTGACATCAAAATCAAATTTCTCATGTCAAAAAACTCCCAGACGCCAATTTTCATCTAAATATTGATGTTACATTATTTGGAAAAAATCGAAATAAAAATAAAACTTCTCTACCCTGTATCTCCCAAACTAAGCATTTTAGGGCTTATGTATTTATTATTTATACGAACTTTCTTACTTATTTTTATTTGCAGAATATGCTGCCGCAGTTTCCGGAATACAGTTCAGACCACCCTGTATAACATTTTTATTAAGAATAATGAAACTGACATCCAATTCCGAATATATCTAGAAACAACGCTTCGCCATCTTAAAATATTTTATTTTATTGATATTTAATACGAATTTGATAAAATAGCAACATAATTCGTTATGACCATTAGAAATAGAATATGGTCAGACAAAATCGGGCAAAATGTTTTATTGGATGAATGAAGAAAATGACATATGAAATGTCAGTAATACCCCGCTTGATCAAGAAACTATTTATTATACGGTCTATTTTGTTTCCTGTATTACTAGGATACACTGGATTATCATGTGAAAGTTGCTCCTATGGCCATGTTAGAATTTCCACTAACACTTCTCAAGGAGTTGAACAAGACTACTGTGGTAAATGCGATTGCAATGGTCATTCACAAACCTGTAATGCAGATACTGGTAAGGCAATTTTATAAATTTTAACAATTGATACTAAGATACTAAGATATAACGGTATCCCTATTTTCAAAATTCTCTTATCCGATTAAAAATTAAACATTTTATTACTGATTTACTAATATACATATATTACTGATGAAAATTTCGATGAAACTTCGAAACATTATGATTTATTTTCTTCTTTGGATAATATTAGGCGTACTATTAAGTTAATAAATAATTATTAATAAAATAGAAATCCCCTTATGTGTTTCTTTAATGTAATGAACCGAGATCGAACGATACAAATACAGGGTAATTTACCATTGGGATTGCCACCATTCAAGAAGGGGCCACCATTTCAAGAATAGGTTTAAAATATAAGAATACAAAAGAACATTGTAATTGTTCTTTTTACATCTTATGTACGTTGTATTGTTAGTTGTTTAGTTTTAATTGTTTATACCTATTTTTTATTGGTATAAACAATTAAAACAATAGTAACTACAACAATTACAGCAATAGTAAATAGTAAATAACATACATTCGAAATTTTCGCATATTTTTTATTGCTTTCCTATTTTGGTGGATCGTGGAAAATTTAATTGTTTCTCTGGAACTAGTTCTATTTGTTTTATTTTACGATTGGTTATAATTTTCACTGGACACGTACGTTTAATTTTTGGTTTATTACACTCAATGTGAATCAATTTAATATAGATTCGCATTGAATATTTTTTTTCCTCACTTAATATGTTTTTTCTCACTTAATATGTTTTTTATATGTATTTTCCTCACTTAATATGTTTTTTCAAGGGTTTTATACAACATTTATTAATATTTATAGGCGAATGTTCCTGTGAACACAACACCGTTGGTGAAAAATGCGAACGTTGTGCTGTTGGATATTACGGGAATCCTCTAAGAGGAACGGTGCAAGACTGTCAACGTTGCGCTTGTCCTTTGGAAGACGATAGCAACAACTTTAGCCCCAGTTGCCAGCTAGATTATTTTAACTTGGACAACGAAGGTGGATATGTATGCACTCAGTGCCCCAAGGGGTACACAGGAGATCACTGTGAAGTGTAAATATTTTTCTTAACAATATCATAAATACACTGAGATGCAAAAAAAAAACGAAATGGAGAAAATTTTAGTCAAATTTAAAGTGTTATATTTTTGTTATTTTTAGCCCTATTTTCGTGAAATTGTTAGCTAGCTGTATATAATTATATCAACTTTAATTCGTAAACTCAGTTTTTTTTATAAATTTTAGTATTTGGCATATTATACAGGGTTAATCGAGGGGTTGTTTTTTACCCTAATTTTTACACACCCTGTGCAATAATTTCTTGTGTAAATTTTCCTAAAATATAATTTTGTGGTCTGAACTATGTCTCCTGAGCATTTTATTTTTTTGATCATGTCAATACATGTCTTGGTTAATTTTTAAGAGCGAAAAGAACTTACCACCAACAATTTGCAATTTTTTCAATTATAATTTCTTTTTGAAGCTATTTTCCAATATGACAAGGCAGCTTTGGTGATTATTGTGAACTATATACTAGCTACTATGAACTGCCCATCGTGTTCGACGTTTGGAAAATGCTTGGCAGCAGGGTTAGAGGTCGCGAAGCAGTACCAGCTTCATTAAGTGAACTTCACTTTGTTCTAAAAGAAGAATTGGAAAGCATAATGCAACATGATATAGGTACTATATAGCGTCAATGACAGTATGAACGGACGTATACAGGAAGTTATAGCAGCCAGGGGAGGCAATACAAAGTAGTAGTAGGGTATTTTTTACAATTTTTTTTTCTGTTTATATACTTGAGTATTACAGATGTTTTCTTTAATATCGTTAGTTCTGTTATCGTTATTAATGTTTATTAAAACCAGGATTATATGGTTAGTCTTTAACGTTTTTATTTATTTAGTATAGAGTATCCAATGCTGTAATATGATGTTACGACAATAGTCACCAAAACCATCTCGTCATATTAAAAAATTACATCAAAAAGTAACGATAATAATTAAAAAAATTGCAAATTCATCGTTATAAGTTTATTTCGGTCTTAAAAATTAACCAAAGCATGTATTGACATGAATCAAAAAACAAAATGCCCAGAAGTCATGGTTCTGAGAGCAAAATTACATTTTAGGAAAATTTAAACACAAAATTATTGCACAGTGTGTTTTAAAATTAGGGTAAAAAACAACCCCTCGAATAACCCTGTATAATATGGCAAATACTGAGGTTTATAAGAAATTGAGTTTACGAATTAAAGTTTAACAAAAATTTCACAATATTGAACTTATTAAATTATTGTTATTATATTCATTAGCTTCCAACAGATAAGTTGGCCAACTTTATAAGTCTTTATATGACATGATCCAAATCCGCAGATAACACTTTCTGTTTATGTGGCACTAAAAAGTCATTAAATGTAAAATAATTTATTACTAATTTTAAAAAATAATTTTTAGAGAAAAAATATAATGAACTTTAATTTTTATAGATGCGACGATGGCTATTTTGGTAGCCCTTTAGAAATTGGAAGCAGTTGCAAACCTTGTGATTGTAATGGTGGACCCTGTGACAGAAAGACAGGTCAATGTCTGTCTTGCAAAGGAAATACCGAAGGTAAGTTGTAGAAATTATACCCACAGAAAGAATAATTTGAATATTTTATCTACAGGGTGGAAATGTGAAAGGTGCAAGCAGGACCATTATGGAGATCCAACGATACCAAACTGTAAAATTTGCGAGTGTGATCCACTTGGCTCCATTTCTAAACAGTGTCATAATGAAACGGGACAGTGTGTATGTAGAGAGAAGTTTGTGGGAAGAACCTGCGATCGTTGTGAGGTAAAATACTTATAATCCGTTAGTTTTAGATACTATTCTACAGTAATTCTGCAAATCTTTGTATTTTAAATTTAATTCCTGGCATCAGTCGTTTCATTGCTTTTTCCATTATTCTGCGTTTTTATTCACGTATGGATGTATGGGTCCTACTGAATACCGACACCTATCTTTTCAACCGATAGCAACAATGTAGAGATCGAGATTCGTTCGTTATCTATATTATATATCTAATCTTCTTAAGGAAACGTAAACATTGTTTAGAAGTCGAAATAATTTCCTTTATTTATATACAATATCAATGTTAGCATTTTTGAACAACTCAAGTGAAATTAAGGATCTTGGTGTAACCACACCAACCTTAAATTTTTCGACGTAACCATAACCACATAACTGTTATTTAAATCTCCTGAACGTCCCAGAATTTATTATCTAGAATATCCGGAAATTAAAGAACGAAGAAGTTTGGCAAACTGTGTTTGATATAAAAGTGCTTCCAAAGTCAAAGTGTTTCCAAACTATAACTGAGTATAAAATTGAAATCAAGAGAATTCAAAAACAATTATTTTAAATATTTTTATCATACTATAAAAGTATGTATTTTATATACTGTATTTTAAATACTGATCAAAAAAAAAACGGCGTCCAGTTGGCTGGAAAATGACGATCGATGACATTTCCCATATAAATTTACAAATAAAATGACAGCGGTCGTCATTTCATAGTCATGACTGACGCCGTTTTTTTTTCTATCATACGGTAGGTCCATAGAGGCCGGAAGATGAAGGGTACAGGCAAAAAAGCAATAAGTCAAAAATCGGAGCTTATAGAAAAACGGTTTTGTTTACAAAATGTTTTAAGAGCTTGGAAAACTAATTATGAAAATAAAATAGGATACATTATTTTTAAATATTTACTATAGTTTTTGCTCGATTGACATAAAATAAAAACAGTTGCCTTTGGTTTTAGGTTAAACATATGAATTAAAAAAAAATAAAAATAAATTTAAAAAAAAAAAACGGAAAAAATTGTTATTCTTAACAATAGATAATACACAGAAATTATTTTTATTCCAACGGAAAAGTATAAATTCAACTTTTAATAGCTTTTAACTACAAATACATAATAATAACTTTTTCACATTTGTGAACACATCACCATCATATATTTCCACTTCTTCACAGTCGACTCCGGGTGCATTTAGACAGGCTTGATTGCATTTTTTACACAAAATGCAGCATTTCCGTATATAAGAAGCACAAACACAGTTTGTTGTGCTTTCTCTTTGCAGAGCTTTGCATTTGCAAAAAAAAGTTGCCATTAGGTGTTCGGATCCTGGAGGTTTGGTGTAAGTCACTGGGAAAAGCTCATTGCCACTGGCAAACCACCCCGACTCAAGTGGATCTAACTCGTTTCCTCTCCAGCTTTCTACCTGTAAATATACTCTAAAAACGTATTGATTACTGGAGTCTTGTGGGAGGAAGATTTGCCAAATCAAAATTAAATCCCAAACCTTGAGTAGAGGTGATTTTTTGATAGCAATAAAGTCTAGCATCGTTCAGTTTTTCACCGTTTTGGACAGGAAAAAAATTTAAGTTTTTGCTCAACTTCACTTAAAGCAGCTTTATTCATATTCTGTGCATTGAAACTTTTTATCAAGTCAAACATTTCAGGACTGTTTTTTAACACGTCAAATATTCTTTTTTTACCCATTTTATATAGGTACGAAGTAGTGTCGCATCCTGTAAATTCATTAATGCATAGAAAATTTTCGCGAATTTGTTCCGAGATCAAGCTTTGTATTTTGAAAATATTTAAAAATTTTAAAAAAATAAAAGAAATTTCCGTCAATAAGAAACCTATCCAAAAATAAAAATAGCTTCTCTTCCTCCTTAATATGGAGTTTGTTTGAGGCAAATCGATTAGAAAATAAGAAAGTTACAGTATTTAAAAAAATATCGTGTCGGTCATCTTTAATTCAACATGGCGAAAAAAGCAAGCTTCCTAGATGGTGTAGCTTTTTTTACAGAGTACTATGGATGGGTACTATCATCTGTGAAAAAATTAGCTTGATTGCAAAAACTTCTCCTAAAGGCCATTATTTCACCTAACTGCCCTGGCCTATGAAGCTGACTAACTAGTTTTGAAATGAGATGTAGCAAAACATGTTCTTTCGTTATTCGATTCGTTAATATGTTAGCTTGTCTACAAGAACAAAAAAGAATGCAGTGAATTACTTGATTTGTTTTGATAACGAGAGGTCGCAACGAGTGAGGCGAGGACATATCTCCTTTTTAGCCTGTATAGCAAATATAAAACAGTTGATATCTCCTGACTAATCCCTTATTTAATCCGAACAATTTCTGAGGACCTAGTATACACCTGTATCGTGCAGATGACATGATTAACTCAATTTCAGTACCCTTAAGATAAATTCAATCGATTAATTCACTAAGTCAAGTTTATGATATTACAACGCATTCCCAATCACTCTTAAAATCTCACATTAGTTTAATATTATCTTGAAATCGGCATAGTCCTGTTGAGATAATTACACGTTTACATTCTCTAACTAGACTATTACCTTTGCAGGTTGGATATGGAAATGTTACAGCTCTATGTCAACCTTGCGCTTGCAACTCAATTGGTTCCAAGTCTGGATTATGCGACGTTCATACTGGTATTTGCGACTGCCTACCTGGCGTAGAAGGGTTTCGATGTGACGCCTGTCAAAACTTACATTGGGGCTTTTCTATAACTGGATGTCAAGGTAAGTGCCTAGTTTCCTAAGAATTATAAGATAAATTGTTTATAAAATTGTTGAACGTTTTTAATAAGACTTCTGGAACAGATACTGTAACGCATTATTTATTATAACACAGATTTATTTTAAACAAATATTGCAAAATGATTATATGAAATTTAAATGTCATATTAATGTTACTAAATGTATCAAAAATAGCCCAGCTTCAGTAAATCTTTGTAACCAGATATTCATCCAGTTACTAAAGGTAGCCAGATTGACATTGTAAGGAGTTGTGAACATTGGGTCAAAAGTATAAAATCTAAAAAAAAACGTTGACATATTTACTTGATCGTCTATATGAATTTAATTACTAACCATAAAAATATACCGTATGATCGAAAAAAAAATGGCATCAGCGATGGCTATGAAATGAAGATCGCTGTCATTTTATTGTAAATTTATATAGAAAATGTCATCGATGTTCATTTCCAAGCCAACTGGACGCCGTTTTTTCAATCGTACGGTACTATCTATATTTAACTGAATCTAGTTCATCAATTCGAGTTTAAAATTAAAGGTTCGTTTGGGTTACATAACAATGGGATTATTTGGAAGCTCTTATTGATAGAATTAGGTAAAAGTTGCAAAATGCATCTATGATTTCCTAGAGTAAATATTCTGGTAAATATATCTCGGCTTATTTTCTGATCCATTTTACTATACTGTTGAAAATGTAATTTAAAGGAGATTATCTTGCCTTAGCCCCAATAAATATCTCACCTGGTCCACTGTTTATTTTCATATAAAACAGGAAGTAAAACCAAGACCTATTTTTCTAATCGAATTTCAATATAGGTCATAACTTTACATTGACAAGAAATGAATATGTAAGATGTATATAAGGTACAACATACTTAAATATATATTAATATTACTTAGTAGTATAAAACTATCAAATAATTTATTACTCCACCGTGCTTATTAAATGTTTATTATTAACGGGTCTGTTGATTTTGAGAGTATATCAGCATTTCGGAAGTATTTTACAATTATTATTCGATTTATAACTTAAAATACATTACATGTTTTATTCAAATTAAAATTATGTTGGATTTACAAAATATAAAAAAGTGTTTTCTGTTGAGGGTCTCTATTGTTGTTCAAAAAGAACAAAGTAAAGTCGGTGGAAAACACGAAATTAATTAAATATCAATAAAAAGAAATGCTCAAGGGAAATAGATAGGAATGAAAAAGGAAAAGAAGAAATCTCAACTAAAAGGTAAGTTGATGCACCTCGGGATTGTCAACTCCACACTCATAAAGTGTTACTCCTGAGGGTCCCTTCTGGAGTACTCTTTTTTTTTTTGGTTGGATCTTGCACCCGACATGATCCATCACCTTTCGATGGTTATTCCTATTCGAATGGTATCGAAGATGTCCTATTTTTTATTTGCATTATTATTTGTCATATAAACATGATTTTACACAATTTCGACAGTTAAATGTCAAATTTAACATTTAACTGTCAAAAAATACCATTGTTTAATAAAGTTTTGAAAAATATTGTATGTGAAAGTTTTCTAATTCTACATGTTTTATCTACCTTTCAAACCTTATCACTCTACCATATTATATTTTTAGGTATTTCCTCAATTTTTAATATTTTGACCAGTCGCTATAGATCAATTCTTATTTTTCGATGGAAAATTATTTAATATTATTTAACCTGACACTTCAGGGTTTCGAATTTTCGGTGTCGGGATCCCGTTTTGAAACGTCGGGATTAGAACCTATAATCCCGGGATCCCGAAATTACTACCTATCAGAATAAGAAATTTAATCTAAAGAAATACTTAATAATAATACAACTACATATCAAAAAGAAAATGAGAAAAGAGCTTTACTAAAATAGATAAAACAAAGCAACATTTATACTTAGTAAGTAAGAAAAATACAATTTTATTCTTGTTGCAAAAAAAAATTAAATATACCAAATGCGGAAATATAACTTTTAGATATTGATGTTCTGCTTAGTATAAATAAAATATGATCTTTGAAAGACTAAAGTGTATAAAGTCGAATCATTTTAGATTGGGCATTTAAATTTTTCGTGATTTTCGGGATCCCGGATTTAATATCGGAGATACCAGACACCGGGATCCCGGGATTTTGAGATCCCGGTATCCCAGTTTGGAAACCCTACCTAACACTTATATTGCAAATATTTTTAATCAAATATTTTGCTTTTAAATCTAATATTTTTAGTTCCAACTTAGTATTATTTCATGGAAATGTTTTGTTTTTATTTATAAAACTTTTAATATAAAAATATAGTTTTATTATTCGTGCAAGTATAATATGATCGAAAAAAAACCGGCATCAGCGATGGCTATGAAATGAAGATGGCTGTCACTTTATATGCAAAATTATATGGGGAATGTCACCGATGTTCATTTTCAAGCCAACTGGACGCCGTTTTTTTATCATTCGTTATATACTATTGTCAATGTGCATATCTTTCGGAGAACGGAATGACCGCTAAAGCGTTTTCTTTATTACCAATGTCAGATTCGAATAGCGCGCCATCTTTTGGACGCTTAGTAAATACATATACAGGGTCGGTGCTATGTATGGGAACGGCCGATTATTAGGTAAAATATACAAGATACGGCAAAAAGTTAAATATAAAAGTTATAGAGTTTTTAGATGTCTATTGGCGAGTAATAAATTTTAGTAAATAGGGTCGGTCATAAAGTTGTGGCACATTAAAATTTCATTTTTTTTAAATAAAACTCCCTGTATATTATTGCATATTTCAAGTCTTCCTTCAATGCTACGCAAAAATTGAGATACACACAATGTATCTCAAAACAACCGTTTCCGAGTTATTGACTTTTGAAAAGATCACTTAAACAATTCGATTTAATTAATTTCGATGTGTTCAGATTCATTTAATGATACCATTCTGGGGAAACTGTGATAGGTACTTAATAATATTAGACATTAGTTCTCAGGTTAGCATTTACAGGTGTATAAAATGAGATTATATTAAGTCTGGAAATTACAAAATTTTCGTTTAACATTTTAAAATCAAAACTTCATAATTCGGAAATGGTTGAATTTAGGTACATTATGTGTATTACGACTATTGCTTAAAATTGAAGGAATAATTGAAATATGCAATAAAATACAGGGAGTTGCATTTAAAAAGATAAATTTTGATATGACACAACTTTATAACTGACCCCGTATACTTATATTTACTATTAGGTAATACACATTTAAAAGCCCTATAACTTTTGTATTTAACTTTTCGCGGTACCTTGTACATTTTACCTAATAATCGACCATTCCCTTACGTATCAGCGACCCTGTATACTTCCAGCACATCGCTTAAGAATCTATGGGTGGGCTCTGGCTAAACTGTTTTCGTTTGTAAAACTATTACAAATAAATAAACTTTGCGTCAAAGCGTTTTGCATACTTGTGTCAGTTGTGTCTAAAACCTTGTCTACACATAACGTTTTACGATTTGCCTGTCAGTTTATACTGGGTGCGTCTCAAAAGTGGATCACCCCTAAACTTTTTTATTTTTTTCAGATAAAAAAATGAGATTTGGTATATTAGTATATGACATAAATTAGGATTGATTGATGTATTCAATTATTTTTGATCACTTCCTATTTCACAGAAAATGACTACAACTTTTGATTTTTAAATGGTACCCTTGGTATTTTTTTTTACTTTATTCGATAGAAAATGTCACTGAATAAAATGAGATAGTCGTTGGTGTGTTTCGAGTCAGATGAACCGCATGTTACAATTTCAAATAAGCCATATAAGAAAATGTCAAAAGTTGACGTATGATATGTCATCCTATTCAGAGTGTCATTTTCTATCAAATTAAGCAAAAAAACCTAGGTACTATTTAAAAATCAAAAGTTGCTGTTATTTCCGGTGAAACAGGAAGTGACCAAAAACAATTGAATACGTCAATCAATCCTAATTTATGTCATATACTAACATACCAAATCGTGTTTTTATCTAAAAAAATAAAAAAGTTATAGGGGTGAGCCACTTTTGAGACGCATCCGGTATAAACGATCGTCTAGAACTTAAAATCAGTTTTACATTTGCGATTCAATTGAACAAATGTCATCTACATGCACATACCAAGGGTAAAAATCAAGTTTCAAAAATTATCCAAATGTCAAGTGTTTTTGTTTATTTAGGAAAATCTTATAAAAAGAAAAAAGCTCTTGTTTGTTTTAGTGAAATATATTTCCAGAAACTGGCAAAAATGAATCCATCACTTTTAGCTTATATTCTTTTTTCTTATTAACTTGGATTATTAGAAATAATGGATTACGTCTATTTGCTACTCTGAGGCGCTATGCAACATGTTTAGAGGATCAAGCAACTGGAGTTTTTTTGGTCCTACATACGGAGCTTTTACGTAAGTTTCCGCTTCGGTCTCCTTAAGCTCGAGGTTCTATCGTGTTTATCGTTTTCCGCGTTGAAAAAGTCGCTCGTCAAAACAGGGCTTTGGCGACGTGTTCGCCCAAAGCCGCCAGCTTTACTCTAGAAAAGCGCTACGTGCAGATGCCGTTGAGAGATCTATTGTTTATCCCTTCGATATGGTATTTTTTCATTTTTTTATTGTTATAAACTTCCTAGATTTATGCATAAACGGAAAGCTCAATTGTTTACATCAAAGTTATTATTGTAAATATAGTATGCCCATGTGTAATTGCGAGAATGTAAGGGAGCGTCCATAAACTACGTGAGGCGTTTTTGAAGATTTTTCAACAGGGGAGTCAATATTTGAATAACTCAAAATTTGCGTGGGATTTCCAATATTTCCATCGCCGCGCGCCGAAACATTACTCTATATAGGCATCTATATAGGGTGAATCTTAAATAAGTACAAATATTTTTAGGGGTAGTATATTTCAACCCCTGAAACACGATTATGAGGCTTTTTGCGAAAAAAAATAAAAAATTTGGAATTTTTTGAAGAACTT